TATATGCGCCAAATTACCCATATTTTTATTTTTTATTTTTTATTTTTTTGCATAAGCCATAATATTTTATATTTCCCATACAATACAAAATAGTACAGTTATATCTTCAGTAATTCCCTCCATCGGCATTGATAAATATTTATATTTGTTGTAATTTTAAATGTGCTTCAGGCTCTTGTACTATGTATAAATCTCTTAGGTTTCTTCGTATAAATAGTATCTCTATATCCTAAATGGAAATACCATTGTGTCCGTCTCCAACTCATGAGTGGCATCATCCAACTTGCGCTTCTTCAACTTTATTGAACATAAGTTATTACACAACTATTATGCATGAGAAAATATCCTAATCCTACCCTCGAAGTATCACAGAACATCGTGAATCCTCTAGAGCCTACTGGAATAAGGATAACACGGGTATGGTTGTCAAATATGCCTTGGGCTTTTGGAATCTCGTCTTACATTCCTACATTTACTGAAATTTTGTGACTTTCTATGTTAACTTGGTGAGTAGTGGTGCTATTCTAGAGGAATCCTATACAAATAATGCTTGTAGTAGCCTGTCAAGCCCAATAAAAAAAAATCAATCTCTTTAGGAGAAATGAGTCTCAGCCATTTAGGAAGTGCTTCTATCTTCTCAGAATCTACCATCTTTTCATTCTTAGATATCATGTGTCCTATGAACACCACCGAGTGTAGCTAAAGTTCACACTTCAAAAACTTGGTGAAAAGCTAATTTTTCTTCGACAGTATCTATAACACAGTTTTTTTTGCCAAGTAATTCTTCGTGTTCTTTCTAGCTACAAGAATATACTAAATATCATAAATAAATACCATGATACTTTTTTTTCTTCTAAAAACAACTTGAACACCATATTCATTATATCTATAAATGCGGCTAGAGAATTGGCCAGTCCGAAAGGCATCACAAGTAACTCATAATATTTGTACTGAGTTCTAGAGGCTTACATCAAAATATCTTCATTTCTTATTCTAAGCTGATGATAACCAGACTAAAGATCAATCTTTTAAAAGTGGGAGGATCCTTGTAACTAATCAAACAAGTCATCTATACGAGACAATGAGTACATATTGCATATTGTTATCTTAGTCAATTGTATGTAGTCGATTTACATTCTTACGGACCTATTCCCTCCCTCTCTCTTTTTCCAATAATATTGGTGCTTTCCATGGTGAAACACTCGGTATGATAAAACTCTTATTCAATAGGTTTTGCAATTGTTCACTTAGCTCTCTCGACTCTGTTAGTTCCATATGATATAGTTTGTATGTCAGGTGCCAGCTCAATATCGAAATCTATTTATAATATTGGAGGTAGTCCTAGTAAATCCTTAGGAATACATTAGAGAATCTCTCATTATGATACTTCTTCTTTTTTCTCAAACTAAGTGTTTCTTCTCTTGTGTCCCTTACCGTATCTATGAGATCCAAATAACCTTTCTTCTTTAACCGTTAAGTCTTCAAAATATATAATTTGCTCATCTCTAAAACCTATAATCCCTTTTTTTGGGACAAAACTATAATCCCTTTTCTGGACAAAACTAGCTTTTAAAGTTCACCAAACCTAATAGTCTTTCCATTGTAATCGAGGGTAGCATGGTAAGAAGATAATTAATCCATAGCCATCTGTACGTTAGAGTCAACCATATCAAGTACAACTTGGTTAGCTAGGGTTTCCTTCTCTTAACTTGAATCTTAAAGGTTTTAAACATATGTCTAACTACTATAGATTTTCCACAGATGTGGCAACCCGAAAAGGATCGCTTATTATCTGATAGCGTTCTTGATTTTTAAATCTTCGATTCATACTAAAATCCATACTAAAAGATATTCTAATCTCGATCTTCTTATGTGAGTTTTTGCATGCCTATCATGTCCATATTTTCAATCTTTCTGGTAAGTGCAACTGCTATAAAATAGGTTTAAGTCTTCAATCTTCATATATGTAGTTACTACCTTGTTTAAACAATTGACGAACCTTTCAACACGCCTCTAAACTTAAGATGTTACTTGCGTATCCAGCTGAGAAAGTTTGGTGTTATATGTAAGTATACCCAACGTCTAAATCAATTACTTAAATGATCTAGCAGGCAAGTTCACGTCACAAACTGTCAAAAAGGAAGTGATTCATAAACACTTTAGTGAAATTATTCTCAATTTAGTTGTGTTGCTCTTGTAGGCATCTCTAAGAGTATAGTAGCATTTCATGTATTTGCCATGTTCTCTAGTCTTAAAGTTGCCTGTTCCATAGACCTCTTCATGAAATATCTTATAGCTCATAATGTGGTAAGTGTTCTACTAAAACCTTTAAGGATCCTTTGAACTATCAGAAATAGTAACTTAGTAGTTTCAACTTTAGAAACTTTATTAAGAATATTTTTTTGTTCCCCATAATCTTCTAGGTGCATGAGGACTTTAGAGCCCCTATTCTGTTGCTCATTCTTCTCATGTTTATCTATTATATCCATAGAGATCTCTTTTTTCTTCTTTTTCATGGAGGTAAGTACATTTTATGATAGCACTCCTCTATCGCTGTAGTGGTGGACTAGTATAAATTTTCGAAATAGACTCTATTACGCATCTTACCAGAAAGTACCTCATATGGCACAATTAACCTTTCACTGGTCTTGTATAATACTTATGTAGCATTTCTTTGCTCGGAGATGGCTGCATGTCCATTGGCGAAATTTGACATCTTTAAAGTTTGAACCTCTAGCCAAATTCTATTATAGGGTAATTGGTCCGAGCCATGCGCGAATAGGATAAGTAATGATAGATTCAGTTATCTGACCCTAATCGCCACACACGTACGGAGGAATAAGAAAGAAAGACAAGACACATCCTATCATGCCCTCGCAGAATCACGATTATGGGAATGGCCGGCTACATAACCATAATTGAGATTCTACTACCGACGTGTGCTCCATTAGCCACAAGAATAACCTAGTGCTCTGATACCAACTTTGTCACGACCCAATTTAGGATTGTGACCGGCGCTTAGGAGCAAGTGCTCCCAAGTAAGCCTCATCGAAAATTTTACAAAAAATCGGACAGAGTTTCTCCTGTTTTTGGACCATCCCAAAAATTTTCCTGTCTCAAATCAACAACCAAACATCCTAATATCATACCAAACAATTGAAAACTTGTCAATTAACCAATACAAGTCTCCACCATAACTAAACCACCAACTAACCACCAGAAATACCAATTTATCTCCAACTTTGATAAATGAGAACGATACTCAACATAAGACTATAATAACAAAAGAATACTCATGACACTAAAATAATGACTATGGAGCGACTCTAAGAGTTCAATGAAAAGACCATAACAATAAATAAAATCTTTGCCCACGCGAACAAGTGCGAGGCTCACCGAGAAATATCAACATGTGCGCTCTAATTAACAAAATCCTTGCCTCCATGAACTGCTGTCTCTGTAAAAAAAATTAGCGGTGAATGAGTCGCTAGCTCAGTGAGTAATAACACTTAACCACAACCGTTTTTATTGGAGACAAGTCAGAAAACATGCTAGTATCTCAAACAGAAGATAACATAAAAATGCCCTTCAGAAACAATAATAAATTTTCAGTCTCATCATGTTCTTCTTGTAGTATAATACAAATAATAATTTAGTAATAAGCTCGGTAATCACTGTACGATATCAATATTCACATTTGGGAGGTTTCAATGAACAGATCATGTAATCGGTATAACTGTGGACTTCTTCGCAAAAAAGTCAAATATAACGGTAGTCCCTACTCGAGGGAAATTGGTAACGGTATGCTAGTTCTACCTTCCCACTAGCGAGGACTATAAAGATAATCTGTAATTTCAAGGTGCACCAGGTCTAACGAACCCGCCGTTAGCTACGGGATCCTTCAATGTGTACTCCCATTTATATTTGTCTCTGTAATCCGTATATACTCATCAAAAATATTTTAAACCAATATAGGGCATTTCGGTTCTTACCAAATCATATAATTTCTTTTCGATAACAGTAAATTCAAGTAACGGTAAAACAGATCTAGTGACAACGAAAATATTTAAAACACGGTAATCTTTTCAAATAACTATTTCGGTATCATATCGAGTAAAAGACTTGTCCCACATGCAACTCAAAATAATCGGTAACATATTCATATTAAAAATCATGTGTAAATCATGCAAGTTATGAAAACACAAATTGCAGTAAGATTACTACTCACAGTACTCGTGCCGAAATACCAAATGCTTCACCTCGAGCAATTCGTACAAATTCCTCCAATCAATCTATAATTACATAATATCGATCTCACGTTAATTTTCTTATTTAGGCTAATCCATAGCTATTTTAGAAAACCCAATCATCGAGATTCATGTTTGAATCTTAATTTGTGGATTTATATTTACTCATGCTATGAGTAATTTAAATTAGTCAAAAAATCTTGTAAATAAAAAGGTATTTATATTTAATCATAGAACTAGTCCATAATTCTATCAATTTCAAACTATTTACTATAATTTATTCCTCTAGAAGTAGACCTATCATTGCTTAAACCAAACCCTTATAGCCTTGTTATTTCCATAGTATATATATTTCTTTTTATATACAAGAAGGTCGATATTGAATTCCTTTGTACCACATGAAATTGCATAAATATAGTGAAATAATTCAACAGATGAGGAGAAGAAATTAACGTTTTGAGTCGAAGGAGAGCTTTAATATATTCAATTTCAACTCTCAATTCTTCTTAAGGCCTTTACCCAAAGCTTTCTTCTTCTTCTTTTCTCTTTTCCCCTTTTCCTTTCTCTGTTTGTTTTTTTTTTTGCTTGCGTTTTGCTTTCTGCGGCTTTTGCTTCAGAAAGCTTTTGAAAGCTTTGTTTAACCCCTTTTTTTTCATTCTTTTCTAATGGGCTTCGGCCCTTGTTTTAAATTCCCTCTCCCCTTTTTTTTTGTTTATTTGTTTAGTTTTTTTTATAGATAGTTTCTTATATTATTATTATTATTATTATTATTTTGCTAATGACCAATACACCTTTGTTAAAATATAAAGTATTACACAATTAATAGGTGGGAGGTGAAAGATAAGGCAAGTGAGTGAATTCGTGAGGTGGAAATTAATCCACAGGCTCTTCTCTTCTCCAAACTCCCTCCCCCTCTCTCATGAATATGGCAGATATACTGATGGTGTAATAAATATTTTTATAAGTGTAATTTAACATATTATAAGAGTAAATATTTGTTTTATTTTTCAGATTATTAATTCTACTTATTATGAATAATTAAGTGCAATTACTTTTCAAGTAAATATATATAGTGGAGGTCCGACCGACTGATGTTGAAGAATCAACGGGTGAGTTGTGGTTAGGGGTGAAATACCACTCGCACCTAGAGCTAGCTGGTTCTCCCCGAAGTGCGTTACTTGATTGGACATCTAGGGGTAAAACACGATTTCGGTGCGTGTATATATATATATATGTTATATCCTCTTCTCCAATAGTTACTCCGGAAATTCCCATCTTCTTATCCACAAGTAAATTCATCATCTTATTTTTTTTTTATTTTTAATTTCCAATTGTCAAGATAGTTTGTTGCTGAATTTTGTCAGGTTTCTGGAGGTGGACCCAAGGATTGATAATTCACCAATGTAATGATTTTGCATGAATTTATGTACTATTAGAGTTTTCGAGTCTCTTTTTCTTTCTTTCTAAAATACAATGGAGGAAAAAGAAAACAACCAGGTATATCCACACACATCTATATATTTTGGTACTTTTTCAATGTCAACATTTTTCATAACTTGTATCTCTTCCTTTGACATATCAATACACTTCAACTCACCATGTTGTTTCACTTTGAACATGAAATATTTCTGCAGCCTTATTTGCCTACAATTTTCCCAAGTCTTAACCATCAAAATCCAGAGATGGTTAATGAAGAAGCAATGATGGTGTCACAAATTGAAGAGAAGTTTATAGAGTTTAGCGATAAAGTAGAGAATGCTGCACAACTAAGGTTTCTTATTGGTGAAAATCTTGAAAATGGCAAAGCAAATGAAAACAAGAAGAAGAGGAAAAGAACAAGAATCAAGAGTAATGAGGAAGTTGAGAATCAAAGAATGACACATATTGAAGTGGAGAGGAATAGAAGGAAGCAAATGAATGAGCATCTTCTTGTCTTGAGGTCTCTTATGCCAAGTTCCTATGTACAAAGGGTATTAAAACTCGCTTTGTTTCATTTTATATGATACCATCTTTCTATATTAGAATTTTTTTAGTTCACATTAAACTTATCGTTTACTCTTAATGACATGTAATTATATGCATATATATAAACGTGCATGTTTAAATGAAAAAGCACTATCTCGTTGAAAGGTTCTGTACATCTGCCATTTCTCAACGCAGTTCTTTAGACAAAGAGACCACTATTTTAAGGGTATTTTTGATGTGTCAAAAATTTCTTTCTTAAATTCCGTACATAGTGCGAAGACAACCATATTATGTAGATATGAGAAGAAAAAAGCAAATTTTGACATGTTTTTTTTGTTTGGAATTTTTCTAGGGAGATCAAGCTTCAATTATTGGTGGAGCAATAGAATTTGTGAGAGAATTAGAGCAACTTTTACAATGCCTTGAATCACAAAAGAGAAGGAAACTCTATGGAGATGATTCATTATTAATGGAAATTCAAAATCCACCATTCTTTGCTCCTTTACCTCTTGCAAATGAATTATATGAAGGTGGAATTCAAGAAGATATAGCTGAAATCAAGTCATGTTTGGCTGATGTTGAAGTGAAACTACTAGGTTTTAATGCAATAATCAAGATATTGTCAAAAAGAAGGCCAGGCCAACTCATTACCACCATTTCTGCATTAGAAGATTTGCAGCTTAATATTATTCATACAAATATTACCACCATTGAACAAACTGTTCTATATTCTTTCAATGTTAAGGTACGCCATTATGTTGAATTATATGACCACCTCATCTGAAAGTTCGAATGGTTAAAGAGAGAATACCTTTTTATTTACTTAAAAGTAATTAAGTTATGTGAATTGACGGTATATAAACAAAATAACATTATACAATAATGGGTATAGCTCTTACTTGCAATTTGCGAGCTTGATATGGTAACTTGAAAAATAAAATAATAAACTATTGTAGTTGATTAAATTAATAGTAATAGTGATAGTACAAAATTTTATAGAATGTCAATGTGTTATATTTTCTGATATTGTTCTGATTTTTGTTTGTGTAGATTTCTGGAGAAACAAAGCTTACAGCTGATGGTATAGCAAATTTGGTCCAGCAAATATTCAGTTTTATTCATGCAAACAATGCCATATGAAATATACCTAATTTACCCTGTACTCTTGTATCATAGCAATTCTTGTTTAATCTTGGATTTTGAGCTCTTAATTAGTGACTTCGTACATATTCTTGATCATTCAAATAAAAGATCTGCATAAATTCATGTGTATTTAATTTGCGATAAACTATATATTTACTGATTTTGTACCTTTATGAGCTCATAATTTTATTTTTATTTTTTGTCAAATACTGTCTTTAGTAACTAATGGTAAACTATTTGACTGCAACTGTCATCATGTGTTCTTTGTTTCTCTATCATACATGAGCACACGCTCTCTGTTGCGTCTAACGACCATTCATTATAGCGTAAGATACAAAAAGGCATAATACATCGACAAAAAGGCATAATACACTCCCTCTTAAGTTTGTTTCATTCGAACATTTTAACCGGGCACTTAGGGTCGTTTGTTTGGAAAATAAGTTATCCCATGATTAATTATTTCGGGATTAGTTATTTCACTCTCCCATAGGGTTAAAAAATACTACAATCCCGGGATAACTAATTTCGAAATTAGTTATACCATGATTTTATCTCAGCCAAACATAGAATAAACTTATCTCAAATTTAATCCCGGAATTAATTATACCTTATCCCTCATACCAAACGGGCCCTTAGTGTATCATTTAGATACAAAATGCCGACATACTAAGGAGAGCCATGGCACGACACTAGGTGTTTCTGTCGTGTAATTAAGAGGTCACAAGTAAGCCGGGAAAAATAACATCTTGCAGAAATATAAGGGAAGATTGTGCACAATTGTCTCAAGGGATCAATTCTTCCTCAAATCTTGCGTATATGGTGTGAGCTTAGTGCACCAAAATGCTCTTTTGTGTGTCAATATACAGTGGCAAGTGAGATATACTAAAAGACTAGCTATAGCCTATTTGGCCAAGCTTCTTTTTGGCCAAAAGTGTTTTTTTTTTTGCCAAAAACACTTTTTGCCAAAAATTGAGGTGTTTGGCCAAGCTTTTGGAAGGAAAAAAGTGCTTTTGAGGAGAAGTAGAAGCAGTTTTGGAGAAGCAGAAAAAAATAGTTTCTCTCCAAAAGCACTTTTTTGAAAGCACTTTTGAGAAAAATACACTTAGAAGCAGTTTTTTAAAGCTTGGCCAAACACTAATTGCTGCTCAGAAGTGCTTTTCAAACTAATTAGCCAAACACAAACTGCTTCTCACTAAAAGTGCTTTTGAGAAAAGCACTTTTGAAAAAAACACTTCTCAAAATAAACTGATTTTTACCAAACGGGCTATAGAAAAGCAAAGGTTTCTTAGCTTCCCCATGCCAAAAGTACAATTGCTAAGGTTACTATCAACATATTGCAGGTAAAGAGAAATGCTAAAGAAAGGATCTTTAATGGAAAAATAGTTACTCACTCGGTGTCATTTTATGTGACATACTTTCGTTATTTTGTTAAACAATGACATATTTTATATGAAAGCATTTAACTTTAAACTTCTATTTTATTAATTTTACTGTTAATGAGAAGTTTTTATATCCTCATAAATGTTATGGAATGTTTAATCAAAATTCAATCGTAGCCGAGTGCAATTATGTGACTTAGGGAAGGTCAACGTGCATATGCACTGCCAAATTGTACCTTTGTTTTCAGATGGGATTGACTTTGTCAGGTCTAACTCTTGGAAGTATTAGGCTGTCACTGAATGCTAGCAAATTCTCTTTAAATTTAGTAGGGTCACTTGTCCTAAGAGTTTGGATAAATTAATTTGGTCTTTTTATCATGCACCATTTATTTATTTTTGTTTCTTTTAGGGTTTGCAGTTTTGATTCATGCGCGCATGCTAAAGAATGGCATTGTGGGGTTTGGATTTTGACTCGTATTCTTGTCTGTAAATGCATCAAGAAGATCCACAACTGTCCAATCATTTGCTTTTGAAATGCAAAGTAAATGTAATTTCTAAATGTTTATAAATTAGAAAAAGATTTATAAATGTTTTTAAAATTTGAATTGATCCAATCCAATTTAAAATCAGATAATTGGTTAAATCACATTGGTAAACTTAGTGCATGTGTCGTCTGGCGCGGCCTTCCCGTTAGTCACTCTCATGACTACATAAAACGTCTAAATTGGAAAAAACTTCGCCATTTAATTGGAATCAACGAGCACATGGCAATATTATTCCTCTTTACCATCAAACAACTATTGTCCTTCCTCGACCTTAAAGAGAAGGGGAATCTACTGGTTATGACAACACTGTTGCATTAGGAGAGGAGACGAGGAGGAGCTTGAGATCACATTTGGATATTAAAAGTAACATGTTAGAGATTGGTAAGGTAATTGGACAAGTACGTTTTTAAGAGAATTCAACCACCAAGGATGTAAAAATCCAGGTTATCAAGTATAAATATTGTGTAAATATTAAGATGGATGAAATAGTTATATGATCCATTCTACTGTAAAATAAATTAGAGCTACCAACTTTCCCTTTCTCCCTACACTTCCTCTCCTCTTCGGCCCCTCCCTCCCCCCCTCTCACCCCAAGAAGAAGTCGTTCTTACTATGATGAATATGATCTCTTTACTATTTATTAACCAGAGTTCAGATTTGAGGCATGAAAATAAAAAAATTCTGATAGAAAGCATTTTATCTTTTAATGCACTTTACTCAACGTGAATCTTAATTAGACGGAATTTCCAAAGTGTTTGACCAAAAAGTATGAACCTTTGGTTAAACTAATTAACTAAAAAGATAAGAGATTAATTCTAGTTAAAGATAATAATTCCAGGTCTAAAATCGGCCTAAGTGGATTAGTAGGATAATGTCGGAACATAATTAATGCAATGAGTATTAAATGTTCAAGGTCAATACCGAGATGGGAATAACAAACATTAAATAACAATAAATGACACTAAATGTAAATAAGGAGAATGATTCACCCAATATTGAATAAAGTGGATGATTCTTCTTTCTGACAATGATGTATGACAAATAACTATTAGAATATTGGGGACTTTCTCGGATCTGATGTAAAAATATATAGAATAATCAACAAAATGAATCTCTTTAGAAAAGTGGTGTTTGTATTTATCTAGAGAGTTTGCTTTTCAAGAGAGTTCTTATCAGAATCAATAATACATACCTTTCACCTTATCTCTCTCCCTATTTATATGGGACATGCCCCTAATCAACCCTAAAAGTACAAGTACAGAGAATATTCAGTGGAATATTCTCCTAAAGATCATATTACAAAACTAGTCATTACTATTATTCTTGGTATTCGACCTTGGCCATGATTGACTGCTCGACGGTGAATCCATCAGTCGTTAGTCGACCTCAGCTAAATTACTTCTAATGATACCTCTTCGTGCCGAAGCCAGATTTTAACCCATATAGTTAGTCCTTCCGCTTATCGAGGTTATCTTTCGGACGACCTCGGTGAGCGGACTTCAATAGTCGTAGACTCATAGTTGTGAGATTTAGGTGGGCAGGTTGAGCAGTAACGATCATGGCGAGGTGATAATGTAGCGCTTAGTGAGCCACAACTTACCATTACGTCGGTTCAGAATGACGTCATGACATCATGCGTCATTATTATGCATTTTTTTATGCATCACGTCGTTTCCTGCGCCTCTTCCGTTTTGATATTTGTGTATCGATGCTTTGTATTCTCGATTAAGGTGCATGGATTTCTTATAAATACGGATATAAATTCTCTATTTGATCCTTTATGTTTTCAAACATTCGAACCTTTAGATCTTTCTTTCTTTTTCTCAGTGTTCTTGCATCCATATTTTTCCTGGTTTCAGCAATTTCTGCCATTCTCACCTCTGTGTTTGTAATTCTTTCGCATATACACAGCCAAAGATGGTTTGTCACGACCCTAAACCCGAACCCGGTCGTGATGGCGCCTCTCGTGAAGACAAAGCCAGCCAATTAAACCTAATTCCCTTTTTAAACAGTTAAATAACATAAAATAGTCTAAAACATGATATAGCAATACTAAGTAGCGGATAATGCCAATAAAGTGCGAAAGTACAACCCAACACAGCCCTAACTGGGGTGTCACTAGTCATGAGCATCTATAAGTCATAATACAAGTCTGCTAAGTCTATAAGCTAGTACAAATGTCTGGAAAGAGATAGAGATGATAAAGGAGTAGAGACACGGGGCTGCGGATGTCAACAACTACATCGTAATCTCCGAAAGCCCGCCTGAAGCTGGAGGTATCAGCACTCGAGAGCAGTACCAACAACACTTGAATCTGCACACAGGGGTGCAGGGAGTAAAATGAGTACTCCAACTCAGTGAGTAACAAATGTAAATAACGACCGAAGGTAAGAAATCACATAAGGCACAAAGCATTCTATAATAAAGCAGTAATACCATTTAAAATCAGTAAATCAGTGAAAGATAGATAGAATCCTTTAACTCAAATGTACTGCTTCATGAAAAGCCTTTTTAAATGTTTAAGCATGAAATAGACAGTCAATTATGAAAAGTAAACACATAAAGGCACGCTGCTCGGGCACAGTATCAACAATTCGCCCCTCGGACAATATCTCAGAACAGTACTAGCCCGTTGGGCTATCACATAGAACAATACCAGCCCTTCGGGCTCAATCTCATATCACAATGGGTACCCGCACTCACTGGGGGTGTGCAGACTCCTAGAGGGGCCCCTTACGGCCCAAGCGCAATAACAAGCCATCTCGTGGCATCAAATCTAGGACCTCGGCCTCATATCAATTAAGCCACCTCGTGGCGTACATATCTCAGGCCCTCGACCTCAAATCAGTATCAGTGTTGCCTCACAACATAGGCCCTCGGCCTTACTCAGTTAAAAATCCTCACAAGCCCCTCGGGCAATAGTAAAACAATGTTTCTCAGTCCAAACATCATTTAAAATATCATTTAAGTATTAAAACTGAGTAAACATGATTGAGTAGTAAAACAGTGAAAAATAACATGACTGAGTTCAAGTATAAATTCAAAACATTGAGGAAATATCAATAAAAATCCTCGAAGGGTTCAAGTAGTTGACACTAGACCCAAATATGGCATTCAGCCCAAATAATGATGATAGCAAATAGTTTTCAATCAAATACGTGGTAAAATCATCAATCGGGACGGACCAAGTCACGATCCCCATTAG